AAGAGTTAAGAAGTTAATGAATAAATTTTACAGATTATTTTTATAATTATTATATATTCCTGCTTTCTAAGAAAAAGAGATTACATAAATGTCCTCTTTTCAGAGAAAAATATATAGTCAGTAACACTTTGTGCTTCGAGATTTTATTTGGAAAGCTTTTCTATTATTCCATTTGAATCCACTAAATTCCTGCGAGTCGACGAAATGCAATTACCGAGTAATTTGGAGGACTATAGGGCAAGATGGTGCGTTTTACAGATTGGCATTCAGCCAGCTTCTCTCTTCGGCAAAATCATATTATCTTAACGAGACCAGATAACGCCCTTTTGCCAATGAATGATGATGTGCGAATGTATTGCACTCTCCCAACCAAAGACTGTCGCAATTGTATCGTTAAACGCAAACGGAAATGGAAAAATTCTCCATTTGCATAATTGACTACTAAGGCTAATTACATTTCTTTATATTGTCAATTTCGTTAAAATTGTGCGATTTCAAAAGCTTATAGAGAAAAAGAAATTATTGATACTCCAAGGAGATATATTTATCCAGAATAAAAAATTTAGATTTACGTTATTGATTTATTTGTTCTGATATTTAATTTTTTTACATTTTAAAGTATACAATAGAATATACTACAGAATATTTGTAACATATTTATAACATATTTATGTTAACATATATTTTAGTAATAATATTTAGTGATCTAATATTTTTTTTTATTTCTATTTTATTCCCTATATTTATTTCATGAATTAATAAGACAATTCCCTGTCATTATTTTAATAAAATAAACTATTTCACTGGATATACATGATGTCTGTGTTGCAAATAAAATTATTATGACGTAATGATCACATAGCGAACGGTTAAGTGGAGCAAATACAGAAAAGTTTGTTTCTCCTATTTTGCAACAAGAATAATCATTTCACCGTAGAAAGCCTGTCGAAGTATCGCTATTAAAGCGAGTTTATTCGTCGTTCTCGTTGGCCGAACGTTCTCTATTATGAAGAGCGAGATAATACAGATGTATAAGGTGTCTTATACAAACTGGCACTCAGCCAAGCTCGCCGAGCGGGCAGTTTCATACTAATGAACACGACAGATGTTACGAAACTCAATTTTCCATATTGCGCGTCGACAAGGAATCATATTATTCCTTTAACGCGATCATATCTTATGCATTAAAATAAATACAGATAAGAGTGACCAATTAAAAAATATAGTTGATAACAAATTATACAAACATATTTTTTATGAAAATGATTTTTTGTCAAAACGACAATTAATCGAATTTTTCATTAAAGAAAACTCATCTTTAATTTGCTCAAGAAGTGAAGGTTTTTTTTTTTTAACAGTTGACGCGCTACGAATCGTTTTCCGTTTTGCCGCAATGAACTTCCGCATTGTAGTATACGTACGCGGAACCTTAACAAAGAATACGAGGAATGTGGACTTTCGGCTTTGTAACGTCGAGACTTACAAAGCCGTAAAAGAGGATTGCGGGACGTTCCGTACGTTTTGTGCTACAAGAGAATCTTTCCCTCTTTGCCTCGACAAAAGTCTCACCATTACCATGTTTACATTCACCCGTTAACAACTTATGAAACGATTCCTTGCAAGAAAGAAATTGACGGAACTATTTCTCCGCGAGGGAAATGTTGCAGAAGATAGATGAAAACTTTGTTCAATATGTTTTTATGTTACTTGCAACAATGATAAATGCGTGAAATATAATCTCAGGTAATCAAACCGACTTTACTCTTGCGCATAATGGCGAAACTTCTTCAATAAAATTTAGATGTTTCGGAAATTAACTCTCTCGTGCTTTTAAATTCATTATGATAGTAAAAAATATAGGCGTAATAAATAGATATAGACCGGTATTCATAGTCGATACTTATGTTCAAGAGTCGTCTTAAGTATATTTAAGACGGTCTTAAAAAAATTCTGGCGCCGTCGACAAAATATTATTTTTATTGTATTAGGGAGTCTCCTACATTAGAAGACTAAAAAAATAGTGATTTTTCATAATTTTTTTGAAAAGAAACACTAATATTTATCGTTTAAAAATTTTTTAACGTTTCAATATAATTATTCTGGCGTACGTATACATTCTTATGTAAGAAAAAAATTTATAAATAATGAAAATATAAACATTTAGACAATATTAAGAATCTTTATTTTAGACTGCATATGTGAGAACAATCAATACTAGAAATTTAAAATGCCTATTACGGTCAAAGTCGGATCTTCATTGCTTTAAATAATTCAAATTTGAATTATACTAATATATACTATATGTATATGTACTTGCATATATATATATCGTATTGCAGTTTTTTCGAACTGCGTGCCGAATTGTTTTTCCAGATTATAAACGCAATTAAAATTACTCTAGTAATCGCGAATTAAATTGACAAGTAATTTTTTAATAAATTAATGCTACAATTTTCGGTTCACTTTTGAACCCTCCTCAGAGACAACACTAACATAAATAAACTGTGAATAAAAAAATATCCTATTATGGTTAAATATCAGAATTAAACTTCAAAAAGAGTAAGAGAAAAAGAAAAAAGAAAAATGAATGAAAATAAGGAAATACTAGAAATATCGAAATAGAGAATATGAAAAACTAATTTATCAAAAATCTTAAGATTATAATTAATTAATCCGAAAATAAGGACGCTCACCGTGATCACAAATCACAAACTATATCGCAAGCATTACTATGAATTATTCAAAAACCGGTTGTCGATATTTTGACCAGTCAGTATCAGACACGGTGAGTCACTTTTAGTTTTAGCTAGTATTATTCAAGCTTACAAATGAAAAATTTTACATTGAAACGCTAATCAATTCCATGAAAATGAAAGTTGGGGAGTAATAAAAAAAATCACGCCAGAAAAAACTCATTACTGCGCGCGCGTGTTTCAATGTAAAATTTTTTACTTGTACTACTAAAACTCATCATAATAGAATAATTTTTTATTCACAGTTTATTTATGTTAGTTTATGTTGTCTCTGAGGAGGGCTCAAAAGTAAGTCGAAACATGTAAGCGCGAGTTTAGTGAATAAAGAAGTTTCACACACTTCATAGATATATTATTTTCGCGACGTCTTCTGCGCTTGACTTCTACTGCCCGTATCCTTTCCAGTTCTTTGATTTATATGGAGTCTTGATTTGTTTGATTTGTTATACGGACAAAAAAATTAAGAAATATTTTTAATTATTACAATTTTTTGTCATAAATGAACTTAAAAAATTTTTTTAATTATATATAAATTAAAACTTTGAAAAAAAAAGTTTTGATTTTCACTAGGTAGCAGCCGTTTTTATTACAAAAAAATTATTAATGTTAATTTTTATTTAATTTTTTAGGTTTATCGAGGATGTTGACTATTAGCTAACTAACTAGCCCTATAAAAAGTTGATTGGTCAAATTTTTTTTCAATCGTGTACACAAAATTGAAAAAACGCAAAAAACAGATTTCAAGAAAAACGCGTTTAAAATTATCGATTTAGTTCTTGAGTACTTACAGTGCTCTCAGAGGCTAATTTGTTATTCCAGGGACATACAATAATTCTTCAGCTATTTCATGGAATTCATTTTGTGCAATTTGATTTGAGCCATTCTACGAGCTACTCGGGCTTCTCTCGTGCTACTAACAAGAGAACCGATTTCCACCGATTTTAATGAGCTTTGGATATGTTGTAGAGCACAAAAAAATATTAGATCCATATTTGTTTTGTACTTATTTCGGGATTTAGGGGATGAAACATCCTCTCGAAAAAAAAAGTCGATTTTTTTTCTTTCGAAGCGAATATCATCGAAACTACAAGAGATAGAAAAAATTTTCCAGAATGAAAATTAAATGGCTTTAAGATTACTTTAAAACTGTAATAAAAAAAAGATTTTTTTTAATTATCTATTTATTATATCTGCGCGCATACACTTGTACAAGCGCTGAATTTATACCGATAAACTTCGAATTTTGCTCTAAAATTTTTTTCGAGACGTATTCTCGAAGAGTTGTATTATCGATTTATGAAAAAAAAATTGACTTTTTTTACTCTCTAATGTAGAAGACCCCCTTAAGTATAGTTTGTATTGATATTTTTAAAAAAATTCCTTTTTCACGATTAAAATACCGCCGTAATTTATTTTGTGTCAGAAACGGGAAAAAATAAAGAAATAACGAAATACTAATGAATTCGACGTAAGTGCAGACGGTAAAAGAGTGTCCGGTGTTTTAGTCGGAGCTTTATTTGAAAATTACGGCACACAGTTAGGTATGACGGTATTCCAGTCTCATCTCGCGAAGGATTAAGCCGACCGAGAGGATTAAACGTGATAAAGCTGTCCATTATGTCAGACGAGAAATTTCGCGAGAAATCTCTCAATATAAATAGATGACTGGCTGCGACTGTTCATACATGCGACACTTGTTGTATGTGCGATAATGCAGAAAAGGCATAGCTCGTGTTCAATTGTTACCGATAACGGTCGCATCAACCGCGGCAACCGGTCGATGGGACGAATCGATCGCTTTAAAAAGCTTACTTGGACGGTTGCTTTAAGAACAATCCCATGTTTTACGAGTAAGAAGCTTTAGCCTGCTTTTCCGTGTCGCTGCGCTTTATGTCCTCCGACACGGACGGACGCGAACGATGTTGGTACTTCTCGTCAAGTCATCCACTTGCCGGATGCACTGAGTGACGTTTGCGCTCTCCTCTGCTCTCTCTCTCTCTCTCTCTCTCTCTCTCTTGCTAAAAAAAATATCTCTTTCTCATCCTCTCGGCGGACCTCATCCATTATTCCCGCGCGTCTTTATCCGACACGGTGGAAAGAAGCGCGTTTTCGTCAATTTGACTTTGTAATGTTATTCATCGGACGAGCAACACGAGACTGTTTAATTCAAAATTGTGAAATACTATATTTGTTCTGTTTGCAAAAAAACATTATAAAAAAATTCGAACATTGTGTGTTTCAGCTAGCACCAATCTCGTAGGCAAATTCACGCAGAGCGTGCGGAGAATGGTCCAGGACGTAAAAGACGAGGGCACGTCTAGTAAGTTCGATATTTTATCACATTCATCTCGCGTGGGAGTTTAATTAAACTTTAGCCGCTACCTTGGCAAATCGCCGCGACTCGATAACCTTACACGCTGAAAAAGACTGCGAAATGATGAAGTGTTCGTGCGCTTCCTCTTACTTTAAGAATGCTTTTTATACGGCTCGCTCATAAAACCATTGTGAATTTATGATCTTTCTCGATAATCTCATCCTGAAAAATGCAATCTAATAAAGGTAATTCCTGTAAACGATTTTTTTTTTTGAACTTATGAATATAAATAGTCTGAGAAAGAAGCTCTCTAAATATAATTCGTATATCTATATTCTTCTTACAGAAATTTAATATTGGCTAGTTTAACCTTCTCTCTGCGTACGAATATTTTAAGAAACATTCTTAAGAAAACTTTGGAAATTTTTCATTTAGCAACATTTTATTTACGTTTTTATTAGCTTAAGGCGCATTTGCACCCTTGTGCGCAGAAAGAATGTTAATACTGGCCGATTTATTATTAGAAGACAGTAGGTAAATATAATTACTTATTCGGAGTACTGAAAGCATTTTGAACAGTACTTTTAATACTTAATACAAGTAATTAATTACTATCTTTTAATATTAAATTGATCAATACTAAATTTTTATAAGGGATCTCTTTTATCTTTCAAAACAGGAAGGAGTACGAGATATCATATTCGTATTAACTATTAATCAACTTTTGTATACGAATTTAGCTTTGAATCTTAGTTCGTTTCTCAACATTAAATGTCAATATTTGTAATTCTTTCTTTTTCTATACATGCTCAATAACGAATTAAAGATAAACTACGAGTATTCGTTCCAAGTATAGTAATTCCAATGAATCAGCAATAGAAACGTTTGTACGTATCATTCGGAAATAAGTGTCTGGCAGTCTGCCAACAGCGAACGCTGTTAGTTGTCCCATGAATGGAATCGAAGCGGAAACTCTTGTATTCCGATTGGAGCAGAGAGTAACGGTGTGTCGACTGTCGCTGTATTAGCTGAATGGACGGAAACTTCGTCGGCTGAGAATTCTGTCAGGCTTAGATTAACGCTTTCCCATCGACGAATGTGGAACTATGATTAATTCCGACATTAACGTTCCCCGTTGGTGAAATGATCCGATCAGATAAATTCCTAGCGTACGATAATAACATATATACTGGATATCCACAATCTCGAGTTTAATGGCAAATTTCTCAAAGAATTTATAATCAATCTAGCCTTAATGGAACAATCGAGAATAATCATTTTTCCTAACTACGCAATAATTTTTTAAATTACTTATACGTTTTTCCAATCGAGTCACAAAAAAAGCCAATTAAAAATTAATATCATTTAATATAAATTGAATAAGAAAGTGAGGAATAAAATTTTTGAAACATATTTTATATAACTCAAAATGTGGTTTTGTTTATCTTTGGGATTTGAACTTTTCCTACAAATTTGATGAAATTACAGCGGAAACACGTCGACTGAGTTGCTTATCGTATCATGCTCGATTTATTTATGTCGAAACTTTTGACATTATCGTAGTGTCGAGTTAATTGAAAATTAATTGAAGGCGACATTCGCATGCGCGATGCCTTCGTCGCTTCCATCGCGCTTTAATTTAACGGCCCTGTTAAACGCGACGCGCAATGATTGAAGCACACGATAAGGAAAATCGATCAAATACAATCATGAGAGTAAAATGCGTTGATGCACGACAGAAGTACCCGTAATCGAGGGAAAATTGCCCGTGCTTCCGATACTTTTCGAATTGCAATAAGGCTTCTCTGCGGCGGACGCAGGTGGACAAACGAAGGAGGAAGTGATCGAGACGAACGAGAGGCTGAGAGTTGTAAGGATACGTTTGGATGGCAGCTACGACACCGCCAAGAGGGCCCTCGTCGAACTGATGTGCAAGTACACCGACAGTAAGCAAGTGCGCAACGTGTTCCAGCGTTATAATCTCCTGAAAAATATGATTAAGGTAAGACAGGAGAAATTGAGCGTCGTAATTAGATGTCACACACAAGTGTTTTTGTCCCATGCTTTGTGCTCGTCAGTGCCAAACTGTCGCTTGACATAATTACGTTGTAATTATGTTGTTTGATGTGTACAGGTAAACGATAAACCGAGAACAGCAACTCGCTCCTGTTAAAATCCAGTTGAATCACTTGCGCTCGGCTCTCTGTTAAGGAATTGCTAAGGAACTAATTATTAACTTGTAACCATAATGTAAATTGTAATTAACTTACTGAGTTCATAATAGACTTTTTTCAAGACACACACATAAAGTCATATATATATATATAAAGTCTAGCAAATAATTTCTAAATATAACAGACATATAACAAATATGATGCCCGTTGAATTTTTTTCGTGAAAAATAATTTCACGCTTCTCAACGTTATTGTATTTCATTTTTCTTTTAACTTCTCTATTTACTTTTCAATTAAAATAAAACAAATTTGTTTACAAAATCATATGTAGTATTTAATACATAGACATGATAGCTAATCTTTGACATGACTGGGATAAAGAAATCATGGAAAAAAATAGCAACAAATTATAAATAATTATAATCACATAGTGTATGATGTAAATTTATTAATCCAGGAATAATCACTTGGGATATTTTTACATTCCAGTGGAGAAAAAATATCAGTTGTGAAATAGAATATTGTTGTCTTCCTTTTTGGACACATTTTCTTTCTTTCTTTAATAATTATTCTTTACGAATCTTTAAATGTACAATTCTAGCATAAACTTGCAATTAAACAAGCGTTACATTAATTAAAGTCTTTATTTTTTACTGCCATAATACGCTACTTAAAAAAATGTGCTTATCTCGTTTAATATTTATTTGGGTTCTTACTTTTTTTCATGAAATTAAAAATAAATTCATAATATTCTCAAGTACCAATAAATCGGAAAACGATCATTAATAGATAATAATTTTGATTTTAATTAGGGTGTAAAAATACCTTAAATGATTGTTTATGTAAAAAAAATAATGTGATTATATCCGAATTATAAAAATATGGTTTACGAATACATAATATTTAACTTGTTCTGAAATTTTTCAACAATATATTTAAATTTGTGAATCGAACCGATATTCAATGAAACTACTGGAGAAGCAATAATTATTTAAAAAAAGGTGCAGTGAAAAACAGCGGAAAAATGGCAGATGTATATGATATTTTGTCAGTAAATAGTCAACAGAGCGCAAAATATCCGGACTCATCCGTGTGCAACTCGACGCGAAATTCCCAGCTGCACAAAACCGACGAACGGGCAAAGGAAAAAACTCAAAACGCAGCCGTTTTATTTTACGTAGGAAGTACCTATGTAAAATGCACGCTGCAACGGGCGCGACGTTTGTTATTCAAGAAATAGATCGCGCACCTACGGGACAAAGCAACAAATAAAGATGCATGCAAAAGATAGTCAGCACGATTGCCGGATATATTTGTAGTCGGCGTGGAAGACGAACGCACGTTATCGTCATCTTTTTTTCTTCTATTTTTCCCTTTTTTCGCTTTTTTTACTCCCCCGGGGGTGTATACACAGCGATTCGCAATCGTTGGTCCCGCAGGTGCATTTTCTCGGACGACGACGTTTGTTTCTGGTGTAAACTTTCGTTCCGCAACAACCGCTATCGAGAGAATCGAGAGAGCTCGGAGTTTATTCTTGTCAGAGAAAAAACTTGAAATTAATCCTCGAGTGATGCGAATGCGAAATAAAATTGCACTCTGTAAATGGCGCCGTTTATTCCATCGACGGCTGTGTAATTCCGAAGTATATTGTTCAAAGTGTTTATATGCGAGCAAAAAAATGAAATATTTAATACATTAGCACTATAACAAAGATAAAATTGTTACTTTGTTATTGTAAAGACAATGCATAAACTTGCTATTTGTCGACATCGTAGTAACCAACTATATTATTGTTATAGAATTGAATGACACAAAATAATTAGAATTAATTTTTATATGAAACGATTTAAATGATATATTGAAAAATCGATGTTAAATTAAAACAGAACAAAATTAGAATAATGAAAAAGAAACTAAAAGAATCATAAAATAATTAAAAATTATGAAATTAAAATTAACTTGATATTTTATTGATAACACAGTCTAACAAAAAAAAATTGCGGCAAGTAGGACCAGTATTTCTTAATAAAGTCGCTAAATCCAAATCTGCCAGCAAAAAAGATGCCCATCATATCAGATTTTCAAGATAAATCGAGTAATACATGAGCCAAAAACAGCGTTTTTTTGCCACATTTACTATTTTTTTATGGCCAAACAAAATTTTATTTTTAATTTCATTAATGGCACTCTAAAGAGTGAATCTTTATCTTTAAAACGAATTTTTTTTCTGTGCGATTTTTTTTATCGAGTTATGAACGTTTTCTGAAATGTGAAATAATAGATCCAAATTAGCGGATTGAACCTGGAAAGTATTAGATCAGTGCAAAAGTTTGTGCCGGATTTAGTATTCAAACAACTGCTATTTTTGTTAAAAATAAAATAAAATCTAAATCTTATTACTCTATCTAATGAGAGAATTTAAGAATCTATTTTTTTTTAAATTGTGATGGTTTTGATGGAGTTATAAGCAATCAAAGTCAAAATATTCATTTTATTTAATTTGCAACAACTTAGTAACAAAAAATCATAGGGAACATTTTTCAAAAATTTTAGGGAAAACTTTAAGCTCTTACATTAGAAATTCAAAAATTTTTGCAATTTTTTTTTGAACATGTAACAGGCCTACAAAGTGAAGAAAAAGTTTCCCGTTTTATTTAACTCGTAGTTTCTATATGTAAAAATTACAAAACTCACGTAAATTTAAAAAATATAAAAACCATTCGAAAGTAAAAATTTCAAGCTTTAAAACCTTTTTTTAAATTTATTAAATTTTTTAAATTACTTATTTTTTAAATTTCGTTTTTTTTAACAAAATTGCAGCTGTTTGAACAATAAATTGGACACAACTTTTGCACTAATCTAATAGATAGATTTGATCGAAAAAGTATCTTAGACTTTCTAGAGATCACTGATATCGAATCTGAAAAACTTAAAATATAGAAATTCAAAATCGCGGATCTAATATGGCGGACCAAATGTCACTTCTCGCATTTTGATCCTCCAATCTATCCAAATCTGTCTACTTTCCACATTCAATCCGCTAATTTGGATCCACCATTTTACATTTCAGAAAACGTTCATAACTTGATGAAAAAAAATCGTACAGTAAATAAAAATTTGTTTTAAAGGTGAAGATTCGTTCTTTAGAGTGGCGCTAATAAAATTGAAAAAAATTTCGTTGGACCACAAAAAAATGATAAATATAGCAAAAAAACATTGGTTTTGGCACCTTTCGCTGACGGATTTGAATTCAGACCTTGAATCTATTAAGAAATGCGGATTGTGATCGCCGTAGGAAAAAAAAAGTCAAATTTTGTCAGACAATGTAATTGATGATCGACGAATAATTTAATCTAATTACAAAAGGGTAAAGAAATATATGTGGCTAAAACCATTTTTAAGAAGCAGACAGAAAAATTATAGTAAAATTCAATTTTTGTAGACAAAATATCTTTACAGTTTAGTTTGTAAGCTATCATTATAGATATAAATATTAATGATTAGATATAAAGATTAATGATGTTACGTTTTTTAAAGCGTAGATGAAATACGTAGAACTCTTTAACCTAAACCGCGTCTGATGAATGGGCCAATGACTCGTTCGAAGACACGCAGATAAAAGGATTCGCTGTACAATGGCTGATCAGCTTGCACAAACGCGCTGCTTTTTTCCCTCCATTTTCTTTTTACGATAGTAGCCCGAGCTACCGACGGTTTTGCCCTTGCAGGACGTAATTAAGCTGGAGACGCAATATTGGACGCTGGTGGATATACCGAGACAAGAGAAGCAGGAGACTGTGCCCGCCTTCGTGCTGCGTGCTTGTTCCATCATGGAGAAGACTCACAAAAGCGGCGAAGGCGTGAAAACTTCGGCGCGTCTCGCCGAGGAGGCTGAGACTAAGAGAGACCGCATCGAAAGACTCGAGAGTGAGTATTCAGAGTACGATAAGCGATCGTTGTCGAGAACAGTAATAGTGGTAGATTTTGCCGGAGGAAAACAGTTCTCCATTGTCCTCTGTCGATTGCTCTTCGTCCGTGTGATTCGTTTTCCTAGCTGCGACTTTGATTATTGTCTGACTTTAACAACTTCAATCGATGCGACTCAATGAATAAGAAATCAATTAATTTATTTGTAAATCAATCTTTGATCGTTCCTTTTGACTCGTTAATTTTCGCTTAACGAGACTTCAAGTTTAATTTTTAATTTAATTTTTATTTAATTTTTAATTTAATTGTATTTTTTTAATGAATTTTATTTATTAATTTTTTTATTATGTCTTAATATTGTATTTTAATGTGTAGGTATCTTATAATCTTAATTGACTTTAACACCTTCAATCGATGCGACTCAATGAAGAAATCAATTTATTTATTTGTAAATCAATCTTTGATGGTTTCTTTTGACTCGTTAATTTTCGCTTAATGAGATTTCAAATTTAATTTTTAGTTTAATTTTTAATTTAATTTTTTTAAATAAATTTTATTTATTGATTTTTTTATTATATTGTATTTTAATGTGTAGGTATCTTGTAATCTTAATATCTTAATATGTAGGTAATTTGACAATTACAAAAAACCTACACAATTATATATTATACACTTGTGCGAAACAATAGTAACTTTTTTCATTTACAATAAATTATACGAAAGAGATACGGATTCATTGATTTTCCTTTAAAAAGCTTTCAAATCGGAAATATCCGTCATTTTCCGTTATAATGTCCAAGAGAGAGATTTAAAGATATCAAAATTCCACTGTACACATTATAATAAAACATATGTGTAATATGTTATTAATTTTATTATATTTAACTATTTCATATTATATTTAATGCGATAATATTGACGCAATATTACATTGAAATAGCTGTGTAGACTTGTGCCTGTTACGCTATGTATAGCACTGCTTTTCTTATTGACGTGGCCTTGTGGCCTTTATATTGATTACTGATATGTATGATATTTGATTATCGAAGGACCAAATGATTGAAAACTGCGTCACGTAATCTTGAAATCAGTGTGTATTTCATCCTTTTACAAAAAACGTGCGCTAACACTCACTGGTTCAGGACGAAAGCGTACTCGAGAGTAAGGCAATGCCGCGCGCACAGTGCAGGCAACGCTCTTTCTGTGAACAGAATTAGATAGGTCCGCGCTGCATAAAGGACCTGACAGGCACAGAATATAGAGAGACACGCGGTAAATAAAACGTGCGTAGCGCGTACAATAGCGTTGCTATCGATTATTAATACTTCGTATTAGGAATGCACCGGATCGTAAAATTACCGAATATCGGATACCGGATACCGGACATCCGATGTTACCTTCTGTCTTGGATATCCGTCCTGATTCCGAAAAAGTGTCTTCTAAAAAAAGAAAGGAAAAAGGGGAAAAAGATTGTAATTTTACAACAATATATGAGATTATTATAGCATCATATATATGTGTACTTATTTCTAGAATATTTGTATAAGAAAAAATTAACAATTTAATGATATCAAATTTCAACTGGATATTTCCCGGATATTAACGATATGATCGGCTATCCAGTTGGATAGTAAAAAAGTGCCGGATAATACCGGATACTTTCCGGATATTCGGATATCCCTACTTCGTATAAATATTTTGTTAATAAGATATTAAAAAGTTAACGAATTTCATTTCTTTCCAGTTAAAGTCAGAAAATTCGAGTTTTTGGAGGCAGTTTAGAAGTTGTAGAATTGAAAAGTTACATAAGTATTTTGTGTAATGAATCTCTTTTTCTTGTCTTGCTTAGGCTAGTTTTTACATTCTTGTAAATATTTAACGAACGTACAATTCATTATTTTTCTAGGAAACATGAAAAATTTATCATATTTGTCATCGCGATATATATGGAAAATTATTCGAAAGTTATTCTTTACTTTGTCTCGTACATACACCCTAAATGCGAATACAAACATTGTACGATCGAGCGCTTGGGCGTGATTATCACGGGTTCATAAATTACTTCAGCAAAAAAGAAAATGTATTAACAACGTGAATTGTCGATAACGCGAGTGCGCCGCGCCGAAGCCGTAATTAAAAATATTCACTGCAGGTACAATATTCTGTCCTTTCTCACTTGTTTAATCAAAGAATCATTTCCTCTTTCTTTATATCATAGTAGAATGTAAATTCTAGTTGAAACCATTCGATACAAATGGCTCGAATAAAATGGTTAATTAAAACCATTAATTAACTTGGTTAATTGATTGGAAATTTTTTCTGAGTCTATATATGGATACACACATATATATATATATATATGTATATCTATTATAGTTTTATTTTATTATATTTTGTTACTTTATCTTGTAGATACCTTTCCATGACTCTATTTTATTTTATATTTTGATAAAGAAGAATCAAAGCAAATTATTTTTTTGAATATATACAATATATGGTGAAGAACAGAAACTATTATCAAAATATTCCAACTAACACTGGCAATAAGAATATATAGACAATATAAACTTTTGGAATAACATTAAATTTAAAAAAGTTACAGTTTGAAAATACTTTTCTGATCAAATTGCTGTCCCAATACTTCTATACAGTTTGATTCTCGGTATATGTATTGTAAATACATGTATACATATTAACAGCCAACGTTTCCGTTCGGTTTTCATTTTACCAGTAAAAGCAATATTTTCCTGAGCATTAATTAATGCCTCTTGCTGGAATGCCGAGCAAACTATGTTGATGTAACTACACGCAACATCCGACATTGGTTCGTGTTTATTCTCTTATTATAGTAAAAAGTTTTTATAAAATTTGTTACATCGTCGATATATGTAGCACTTTTATATCGCGTGATTGATATAAAAGCTATTTAATAATATAAAAAGCTATTTAATGAAAAAGATTAATTATACGGAATAAATATTGTATTTTAGAATTTATTAAGAGGCATATAGAATTTTTTAAATAAATTATTAATTGTGTGTGTGACTCCATATTTATATTTATATTAAAAGCTACAGAACAATTATGTTCTTCATGATTTAATATATTTTCGAGTATTTAAAATGAAAATCATATTGAAATGAAACGAATTAATGAATTGATTGCTTCGTATAGATATGACGACGGCGCAAATTGAAGCTGAGAATACCCAGATGACTAATGATCTGTACAGATTGCTGAAAAAATACACGGGTCTTAGGAATCTCATCAAAGTGTTGAAAGTATGTATTTTATAATACTTAATTTACGGATTTTGTTGCATAAAAGGATATTTAGCCTAAGGAAAATTACACATTTGGATGAATTCATAATATTAATTCATAATATCTGAAAATGTATCTTAATTCTTATTCGATATTTTATTTTCATTGTTTTATATATATGTAAAAGTATTTCGATGTTAAAGTTAAATTTTTCCAAAATCTCCATCCATTTAAATTAATTTAAATAGAAATAAGAAATTAAAAATTTTTTTCTATATTATAGCAATTTGTTTATTTCTCCTAAAATTTTAAAATTTATTTGAAAGATTAATGTTTTTAAATATCATTCTTTCTTATTATAGTAGAATTTGACTTGAGTTGTATTGTATTGATTATAATTTCGCGATTATGGTCGTAAAAAAATAATACTGTTTAACAGCGGCGAAACGTAACACTATCATATTAGAACGTTGTTATGATCGTCCTTTTTCTTTTTATATTCCCAATAAGTTACGTACTGCTACTCTTATAACGCTTTCCGGTCGATGATACGACGGTTATCATCTACTACGTTTTATGTTCTTTCTCTATGGAGTATCAAATAAATCAGAGATTAAAGATATAATATCAACCACTTTACGTCGTTCTTTGATTCTTTCACGTATATTCAGAAATTATAGTGTATAATACTTCTTTTAAAGCTAAAGAAACCGTTTAAATGATACCGGTTAAATACTTCTCAAAAATTTCTTGTAGCTTGAAACTATATCAATTATGTAATGCAATTTCAATTTCTATCTATGCAATTTTAATTTTTATCTGTGCTTTACAATGGTTTAAGTACTTTTTCTCGGAAAAGATTTATTAATTTCTAACGATGAATGCAGCCCTTCAATGCCACTTCTAGCGTGGCATACCCGAGGTTTCTTTTATTCTTTCTCTCTCTCTCTCCCCCTCTCCCCCCTTTCTCTCTCTCTTCCTCTCCCTCCCTCCTCTCTCTCTCTCTCTGCTATCCTAATTTTTATTAATAAAGAT